ATATAAGCATATCGTAGTATACCACTTTTGTACCAGCTAAATTAGTTGCTGGCATTGTTGTTTTAACTGCTGAGAATAGAGAATACTTGAAGGAACTTGCCAATGTTGAAAGATAAATAGTTGGAGTTTCTTATTTCTCACCTGACTTTAAGCTAAGTTTGGTTACCAAGCTTTAGAGATAGGCACCTAACCCTAACCCTTTCAAGGAGAGAATTTAGCTGGATCTACAGGCAATTCTCATTATTTATGAACTCAGCATATGTGAATTCACTTATTCACAAAAATGTATTTGGAACTGCAAAATTAATATTGTTGATACTTCCACATTTAAGCAGCAAAATATTTGAACTACTTGACGCCTACATTCCTAGCTAAGGTTTCAGCAATTGCTACTTTAAAATTCCCAGCAATTTTACAAAACCTAGCTACCATGAATAATGAGACAATTGTATTTGTCTCTGCATGTAGAAATATTCTTTAAAATTCTTCATTGGAATTTTACAATATGCAAAAAGATTTTCAAAATGTTCATTCTCTGTGGCTTTTAAATGAAAAGATTTCATAGTATTTGCTCCTGTTAAATGATTAAAATTTATTTTAACTAACACATTTTAAAACTATTGATAAATTGATAATACATTTTACAGTTTCATATTATAAATAACTTTGGAAAGACCTCTAATGGATAAATATGAATTTGGGTTTGTTAGTGAGGATTATTGAATCATGAATAAAGCCTGGATCGGACTTCTCCATCACTGCACATCAAGGAACATATGTGCCTATCATTCAGAAACAGTTGCATAGGTGTTGCATTTATATGTCTGTGAATGTTAATGTTCTGATTAGGGGGAGCTCAAGCAACAAAGCACAGTCCTAGACAACCCTAGACTAGATTTTGTTTTAATTTGTTAAAAGGTTAACTGCTTCTAGCCCTACTTTGGTAAGTGGATCTAAATTGGGCCCAACTTAATGCTTTAAGATAATCCATTGTGTAGACACATTAGGAATACAGTACATAGTTCTCATTTTCTAAATATAAATTGAATTAAGAAATATATAAAAAACATCCCAGACAATTGAGGTGTTGGTATAGGTTTATGTATTTATTACTGGATCTATCTATCTATCTATCTATCTATCTATCTATCTATCTGTCTGTCTGTCTGTCTGTCTGTCTGTCTGTCTATCTATCTATCTATCTCATCTTTACTAATGTAACCTATATCTTGCTTTTTCCACAAATGTTCTCTCAGGGCAGCTAACAACTTTTATTTTTTCCGTCAGATATTTTGGGTTCATTACCAAGCACCCTGCTGACCACAGATTTGCATGCCATGTCTTCGTCTCGGAGGAATCCACCAAGCCACTTGCAGAGTCTGTAGGGTGAGTTGTTGGCTGTCAGTCCTGGATTTTCATTTTTCTAAGGATTTTATTTGATCAAAGGGAAAGGAGCACTGGCCTCAGATAACAGGTGTAGTATGCAGCTCTGGTGGCAGCAGTGATCACAGCATACTTGCTGGGGTCAGGGATTAGTCAGTTTTCAATGCGCAATAGAGGGTAAACATAGTTTAATCAGAATTCTAATTCTGCCTTCAGTTTGCTTAGAATCCCATTGGTATGGCATGAAGACGTGTTTCAGGGAGTTGCAAGGTTTGACTGGAAACCGTCTTCATTAAAGTTAATGAGTTCATAGAAATATAATCCATTTCCTGGAAAAACCTACAGTATTGAGTCAGGATATTCTTAGAAAAGCAATCTAGCGCTTGAATTCTTCACCATTAAGATGTTTTAATGGCTCATGGAGATACTCCTGTTTTTCAGTACATAGCATTTTGCTCAGGCCCACCACAGTGTGGAGAAAGAATTCATTAAGGTTGATGCATTTTTCTGAGGCCTATTTATACATATCTGTGCCTAAATGTTCTATTTGCATGAACATTAATATATGTGCATGAGGTCAGAGCTACTACAGCATGTCTGTGAAAAGTCCATTTCTGAAATGCTGTTTGTTGGAAAACAAGAGTTACTACAGATTTATGGTACTTGCTTCTCAGATATTTGGCACAAGTTCTTGCATAACTTACTGTCATTTCCTGTGCAGTTGGCACATAATATGTGCAGTAAGCAGGTTATTCTGCCAGATCTTTGCATTTGTGGGATGTGCTGTATTTAGCCTGGTTACTAAAGACTATTTTAGAGAGATCTGATTCTTTTTCCTAAAATGTTTGAAAATACAGCCCTAAATAATGAAAAACTTTAAAAAGAATGTATGAAGCAAATTTGTTCTGTCTATATGCTATGATACACATCTAGCCTCTCTTCGCTATACCTTTTTCTCTCTCATTCTCTGTGTGTGTGTGTGCGTGCGTATAATTACTTTTTTACAATAACAATCTTTAGTATTTAGTAAGCAATGTGTTGTCTGGGTTTACATATTTAACGTTAATAGTAATACAGTTTCTATTCCTACCCTTTATTGTTTTTCTAACCATTTATAAAAATTTTCCCATGTTTGGAAGTATTCTGAATCTTGTTTCCCTTTCATTTTCAATGTGAGTTTATCCATTTCTGCACAGTCCAGGATTTTCTTAATTATATCTTCTTCAGATAGTATTTCTTCATTTTTCCAATATTGAGCAAATGTAATTCTCGCTGCTGTTAATACATGTAATGTTACGTATACACATTCTTTATCATAGTTTTCTGAAATTATACTTAAAAGAAATAGTTCTGGTTTATAGTCTACATGTGTTCCTGTTATCTTCTCTAGCCACCTATGTATTTTTGACCAAAAGTTCTTTGCTTTAGGGCATGTCCACCAAAGATGGTAGTACATGCTTGGATTTTGTCTACATTTCCAACAATTGCCAGACATATTTTTAAACATTTTTGCTAGTCTTGCAGGTGGTAAGTGCCATCTACAGAACATTTTGTATAAATTTTCTTTATAAGTAGCTGCCCTTGTTATTTTATAGTTTCTTTCCCATACGTTTTCTAACTCTACATTGTGCCCAAAAAATTTTGCCCAAGTTATCATTGTTTCTTTAACTTGTTCATCTTCCATCTTTAAATTTAACAGAAAACTGTACAATTTCTTAATCGATTTATCATCTGAGGACAATAGTATCTGATCAAACGCTGTCTGATCTTTGTAAAAACCATATATTTTTGCATTTTTCTTGTATCTCATTTGCATTTGCAAATGAGGCTGCCATGATAGCTCTATGCCCTGTTCTTCCAGTTCTTGTTTATTTTGTAGTTTCCCATCAGTGTTCAAAATATCTTTTTCTCTCTCGTTCTTTTGCAGGAAGGCTTTCCATCAGTTCTACAAGGAATGTGTGGAATATACGTGCCCCACAGAGGATATCTATCTAGAGTAGGGGCAGGCCCAGCCCCCTCTTCGTGTATAGACAAGGGCCATTTCCCCATTGTGCATGGACAAGCTGCTTCAAGACTGAAGGAGGAAGAGGCATGGGAGCAGTTTCCCTCCATATGCAGAGCCCCTCCTCTTTCAGTACACCTCCTTTCCTTGGGCAGGGGGTTTGGGGAGTTGAGAATGGGTGGGATGGGTGGCAAAACATGGGGATTACTATTTTTAAAGAAATACATTCTCTTTTTTCTTTAATTCAAAGAAAAATGCCACCGGTGAAAGCAGTTGCTGCCCCCACACATCTGGATGAGCAAGCAAAGCACTGGCCCGAGAACAGGCAGGGTTGAATATCCCATGTGTTTGGCATAGGAGGGGGCTGGTTTGGTGCCTGGGCAAAGAAACTCCTCCACACTTTTGTGGGTTCCTGCTATGTGCTGGAGGCTGCTGTAGTCTGCCACATATTCCACGTTTAACATTTGCTGTTTAATAGGACAGGAATGCTGGACTTCCACCGAGAAAATTGGATCGTTGATATATCAGCGTTAGATAAAAGATAACAGAAATGATAAATCAAAATCTTGGATGGGAACGTGCGTGGAAGCTAAGCAAAAGATTTCTGACAAGTCCCAGTAAGCAGAAATCCACTTTGTATTTGACCTCCAATGTCTGTAAAAGTAATCCAGGATTACTGTACTAGAGACACTTTGGCACCTGGGCTTTGAAAGAGAGGGAGAGTTTGAGAATTCTGGAATTATAGTCCCGATGTATCTTGTGGGTGCCAGGTTGTGGGAGGCTGAAGGTGAAAACTAGAAAGAACCACTGTACTCCTATCTGATATAGAAAAATCCCTCTGTTGCAACTCTGATTGTGCTATCCCTTTTCCTTTATCTATCTGCAAATCCTAAACTCAAAGGGATGAGAGTAATCTGGGTACTGCAGTGAACCGAGAGCCGTGTATCTGATTCATCCATATTAGGGGGCTCGGAGCTGCTCCAGCCATTAAGCACAATGCTGAATCAGGAAACAGTAGTGAGGTCCTGTGGAGAGGCAAAACCTACAGGACTAGCATGGGTAACAAGGAGCCAGGAGCTGCAGAAAGGTGTGCCTTTGCCTTCCTCCCCTGCCTACAAGCCCGTTTTCCAGGCAGAGGGCTCTGTTCTTCTGCTGGATCTGCTCTGATGACAACAATGATTAAACATTGATGTTTCAAAGGAATGGTGTGGCTTTTGTGTTATGAGGTCTTTTAACAACTGTTTGAAGCCCTTAGGATCGAATTGCAGGAGCCCACGTAGATGCTACAATAGATAGCATTGTATAACGTACCCATCCACCCACGTTTGAGAAGAAAATTAAGAGAATTCTTACATGCCTGCAGTTTTCAGAATTGTATGTTGTATACATTGCAGAATCATTTTATATTAGAGTCCGGTTTGGCTTGTATGGAATGGTCATTCGGGGGCATACGAAGCAACTTCTTTTTTGCATTCCCCCCCCCCTTTATATATTTTTCAAGATTCATTTCCTGCATCTCCGCTAGGGGGCTTACATAGAAACCCCTGTAAGCCAAGTTATCTCTGTATTTTTTATTGTTATGTATAATGTGGAGGGCCCTGTTTTTTTTTGTGTTGGAGGTTACCATTTTCTACCACTTCATGGTCACCAGAAATCTGCTTCAATAGCTGTATTCTCACATTCTCTTAAAGAAGAGCTGGTTTAGTCTAGTGTTTAAAGCACCAGTCTAGAAACCAGGAGACTGAGAGTTCTAGTCCCGCTTAGGCATGAAAACCAGACCAGTCACACTCAGCTCAACCCATCTCACAAGATTGTTGTGAGGAAAATAGAAGGAAGGAGTATTAGGTATTATTGCCCCCTTGAGTTATTTATAAAAATAATAAAAGATGGGATAAAAATAAAGGCTTTTGAGATATTGGAACTTAGGAACCTGAATCAGCTTTACAACCAATGCCTTTCTCTAATGCCAGCCGTTATTTCAGCCAAATATGTAATTACCTACTAAGCAGGCATGCTCTAAAATGCTCTTAGAGGGTTTTGGATCTGTACTTTTATTAAATATTACATAAATGAATGGCACTACACAGACAGAAAGGCTTTTGAGAGCTAGATCTATTTAATAATTGTTGAAATTGTAAACAACAAAATCTGCTCATTAGTTTATACAAATTAGAATTCTAATGTGAGGTATAATCCAAAGACAGAATCACTGGAAAGGTGACAGAGAGGTAAAAATAGTCATGGCACTAAAAACAATATTGGACACTTATTTTTCACTACACAGCTTCAACATTGGAATTGGAAGTCTTATCTCCAGCCAATAGCCAAAAGTTTCCAAATATTATTTAGCATAGTTGGAATTAAAAGCATGAAAGAAAAGCTAAGAATCTACAAATGCCAATCTCACCTTAAAACATTGTGCTTATGATAGGGACACATAGAAAATACAGAGCTGCATGGATAGTTTCTAGAATAGTGTGAAGTAACAGGATGGGGCTTATTCCTCTGTGCATTTGGCTGTTTTATCAAGCAAGACTATGGAAAACAGGATATTTCTCTTGTCGTTTTTCAAAGGAGGTCATCGTAATAATACTCTTCAAAATTTGGTTCATCCCTCTTGCTTTTATGTGTTCTGTGCAATGTTTCTGACTCCTTACGCCGTTTCCGTATCTGGAACTTGGGATGGCGTGGTTTAAGGCCATAATCTGTGAAAACACAACCTTGTGAAATACTGCAGGTAGTAGGAATGGGAAAGATTATTATGATGGTTATACATCCCCAGAGTGCCCACAAGCAGGCACTAGTCACACATGTGTAGACCCCATTTCAACCCTCTTTTGGCTGCAAGGGAGAAACTAACTTCCATGGCTACTTCCTTTTGTAATTGATTGGCTGACCGGTCAACTGACTGATCTGGAGAGTGCAAAGCCTTGTAAGTAACAAGTCCATTAAGGCACGCATTGGAAAGTGTAATTGGAAGGACTTTGTTCTTGCATTTTTATAGCCTGCCTGACAGGAAATTCTTTTCCCAGGCAAATCCTGTCTCCTTGCTTTCTTACTTCATGTTATGTTCATAGGGTATTGAACTCAAACTCTCAAACTGCCCTCAGACGTGATTGTATCTTGGCTGCACATATCTACTAGAATAGATGGTACCCAAGAGATATGATCAAGGGGAGAGGGAAAATCCCTCTTTGTTGCCACTTGAGATTGATACATTAAATAGTTGGCTGGTTGAATTCCAATTTCAAAGAGAAAAGAGAAAAAAAAGACAAACACTGTAGCGCACTCAGTGTTCCACATGCCAATTGGAGGTCACATTTTCATGTGTATTTAAGCCAGTGTTTAGCTCAGCAACTTTAAGAGGTGTGTGGACTTCGAGAATTACCCCAGCCAACATGGAAATAGAAGCTCACACTTTTTAAAGTTGCCAAGATTGGGAGATACAGGGTAAAAACTGTATGGACAGTAGCATAACACAGACCTGTCCCTGATGTGGAGAATGGGCACATTGTGGGGACAATAGCATGATTTCCTGAGGTTCTAGGACAGGAGGGGGAAGGGCACAGCAAAACAAGTTGTGTGAATGTGGCCCCCTGCCTAGGACAGCATAGCTACCCTTAGCTGCCCTGGGGTTAATACAGTGGAGATGTACAGTAGCAATGTGCCTTTACCCAGCCATGCCTGATGCCAGAAAATAGGAACTAAACTTAATACGTGCATACCATCCACTAAGCCAAAATGTTTCTGCTGGAGCTCCAAGGGCGCGATGAAGTCTTCTGGGACAGATCGACTGAATCTGCCATAGGAGAGCACAAGATCAGGAAGGGCTATGATTACTGCTTTAAAGCCCTTAAAGTGTTTGTTTAAAAAACAACAACAAATCAATGCAGGGCAATTTCCTCATCATTTCTTTTGACAGATCTCATGGGCAGATAACCAAGCGATTAAATTCTAAATTGCTCTTTTAACAGTAGCTATCATAAATCCTCCATAACCGCATCATATCTTGAATCCCTAAACGTATTAAAATGCTGTAAAATCCAATTAATGGATCATCAATAAACTTCCATTTACATATTTCAACCTTAATTCTCTTCATATTGGTATTAGATGTAGAGTCTGAAGGAGCAAATCCTCCAAGGAAATCCTCCCACACCCCATCAGAGGAGTGCCTGGTTGCAGATTTGCAGGACTTGCAAATCTGATGTACTCCGCAGTGTGGAATCACACTGGCTCTCTTTCAATTTAAGTGTTTTATTTGTTGCAGGTGCCCATTGGAATGTACTTTTCTGCGCCTGAATGGGACTGAAATAAGTCTGCATGTATAATTAATGGATGGAACTAATTTGTTTTAATAATCCTTAGGTTTTATGGATAATCCTCACAAATGAAATTATTTCTATTTTTTAAAATATGAATTTAATGTCTAAGAATATGTATGCAGGTCCTGTAACTTTTTCTTTTCTATTCCAATCTCTCCCTTAAAATACATAGTCCATGGTCTAAATTGCTCTAGGAAAATGTGTTTCCTTCAGATTTTATACTCTATGATTGTATCAGTCCAAATATCACTTGTTAGAGAGAAAAAAAAATTACCAAGCACCATTTTCTACACAATATAGTGATTAAAAAAGAGTTCTTGTGTGCAAGATCACAATGTCACAGATATAATGAAATATGAAAATAAAATGGGGAAGAAAAAACAAACACCAGTAATGAACAAATGATATGTTCTGCCCTGAAATATGCTGGTAACTATATAAAATTTATTTATTAAAGACAAAACTGCATGTTGGGTAATGAGCATTTTATATTATCTGTGGTTGTCACTATCTCTCACCTCTCTCCTTGAGATATGCAATTACACACTGACATCATGTAATTGCAACTTTCTGAGGTAAAGTCTTATCTCAAGGTGTCCGGTAGGAAAAAAAAATACCAAAAAGCTCCACAAAAAACCCACCACCGAAACTTAACAGGCATATCATGCCTCACTCCAATCAGATATCAGGTGTTTTAGTCTTTTCTGACAAAACAGTGGTTAATTTCAATTAATTAAATAATATTGGAATTCATCCCTCAGTTTTTCCTGAAAGTGAGCTTAAGCGTATACTGAACTTGCAAACTTCTGTCAATGCTAAAAAGAATAAAATGTTCCTTAAAATGTGTATGAATGGAGAAGTTGGCACCAGTATGTGATTTCTCAAGCCAGGTGGCCCATCAATGCTCCTTTCCCATCGTAACTATGAATATATCAGGTACACAGGATCAGTACTGAGGCATGAAGCTGTAACTGTTACCTTTGGAGACTTGGCACAGGCAGTAATTTCTGCATCAGAAGTAACACGATCAAAAGTCCCATCTGGCCTACAAAGCCAAGCCCAACTTGATATATCTTTCTCTCCTTGGCAGAACCGAAGGCAGCATTCAAAGGCTATGGCGTTGTCACAAAGGTATAGAATGTAGGATAGTGCTGAATTCCATGGACTGGGCAGTGAACATAGGTCACTTTAAGAACAAAAAGCAGGCATCCGCTCCCACACAAACACACACACACACAAAACCCCATACTGCTTCAGCTGGTTGGCTGAAGTCCACTTTAGAAAAAGATACTTTGCTCCATCTGCCATAGTTGCCCATCCTTATTGCCATTAATTGTTTGATCTTCACAACTTTTGTTTGATTAGGGTACCCTCTGACCCTCCTCCCTTTTTCCATCCATAAAGCTCTTTGAAAGGCTTCAGAGATTACCATACAATGCAGGCTTCTCAACTTTTAAAGAAATACTCTCGTCAATTTCACAGCTTCAGACCTGTGAAAGAGCAAGAAGTTCTGTAAACAAAGATTTACCATAATGTCAAGGTCAGCCTGTGCAAGGTGATACCTACTGAATCCTTCTCCCCAGTAGTTAATGGCACAAGCACCATAAACAATTCTGAATCATATTGTATATAAATATTTGTAACTCAACAGTTTTCAGTATTTGTCTATAATCTAGCATTACTCTTTCATTTCTGTCCCACAGTCAGCTATAATATGCTTTAATTATTCCTGTACAGGACATCTGTTTAAAATGGTACCTGAATACTATTTTATTTAGGAGCAAAGGACATTTCTTCCCAAGAAGGCAAAATACATCTTCATTGCTGTTTGCTCACACTGACATGTTCAAGTACAGAATTCAACAAATGCCCGAATAAATGAGCAAAAAAGGAGGATCAGATAAAATGACTGAAAGTTCAAGGTGATTTGGATAATCTTACATCACAGCAATGTCCCTTAAAATCACTGAACCTGTAGTACAGTGGTTCTCAACCTTTTTAATGCCGCGACCCCAACCGGTCGTAAGTCGAGGACTAAACCGGTCGTAAGTCGAGGACTACCCAACCGGTCGTAAGTCGAGGACTTTCCCTGCCCGGGAGCGCCGCGCATGCGTGGTTCCGCCCCCTGCGCCGGCCGAGGCGTAGCTGGCAAGCGGCAGAGACAAAGCAGGCCGACCACCAGCTGGCCCAGCCCAAGGGAGGTAAGGCACCCACCGGAAAAGGGGAAAAAATGGTGGGCAAAAAAAATGGCGGACAAAAAAAATGGCGGACAAAAAAAATGGCGGACAGCCTTGCTTGGCGACCCCTGTGAAATGGCCGATTGACCCCAAATGGGGTCCCGACCCACAGGTTGAGAACCACTGCTGTAGTACATCAGCAAAAGTGGTTTTCACAAAATCTACAAGAACTGAGTAGGAATACAATCCCACAACATGAACAGAAGGACAGGAACAGTCAGAGCAACTAAAATACTTGACAGCTCCTTGCTAGGGTACTCAGTATAATTCATTTAACCTAAGCTTCATCTCCGGAGTCCCATTACATTTCATTTACAGCAAACTTAACAACCAATTGGTTGCTTGAACAATTTGCCAAAGCCTTTCACCTCATTAAGTCACCCAGAGTTGCCCTATTGGGGAGATGGGCAACTAATTAATTAATTACATTTTTTTTCAGTTCCCCAGACTTTGGCTTTTCTGCAGGGCCTTGTAACACATGAGATAGGAACATAATATTTTTAAGGGGAAGAATAAATTCCCTTATAAGGCAACATTTTAAGGGCAGAGAGAGAGAAAAAAGCCAGTTCCAGTTGAGTAGTACAAGCTCCAGCTGACTGGCATGTGGACCACTATGATACTGAGAGAAAAACACAGAATATACTTAGCTGCTATTTAAGCTGGTCAATTCGTTTCAATCACAACCATATGTTGGACCATAGAAGAGTGTGTCCCTTAATCAAGAAAAACGGAGTGAGGGAGACAACCCTTCTTGTGCAGTGAAAGGCACACTGGTTTGCATAAAGACCGGCAACAACTTATTTTTGAACGCGCAGAGTTCAAAAGACGAGGCAAGGGCGGGCTTTTGCCAAGTTTTCATTTCCTTCATTTGTTCGGAAATGAAACAATACAATCAATTCAACATTTCACTCATTTGTCCATCTCCTAGCATTGCTTTGAAATTCTTCTGCTTCCCATCGGTTTAATTCCTGCAGTTCATGACTGAGCATTCAAGAGACCAGACCAATTAGCCCAAAGGCACCGCAGTCCCCTGGCTTTATTAATCCACATTAATGTACAAAATGCTTACAAAAAGAGTTCTGCATCCCTCCCAACCCAAGTCCCCATGCTTTGAAACCAGTTATTACCAAAGAGGAAAGAAACAGCATACACATTTTAAGCCGTCTTTGTAGCACTTACAGGAAGGCATTTTTTAAAAAAAAAAAAAAAACAGTCAGAAGAAGCCTTATTCTTCTCCCTAAAACCATTAATACAAGTCATAGAGAGATGTGCTGCTGCCCCTTCTCTTCCCCCAAGTCTCATGATTGTTTTCCTCCATATAAAGTCACTCTGTCAGCACAAGCTTTCAGCTCGAATCTTCTCTGGGTTGTATAGTAGTTCAAGCTGAAGCCAGATCAGCCCCAATTATAGAAATAAATTTTCTGCCAGGCTGGCAAGTAATCCATCAAAGGTCCTGAAATTGAAGGAAATAAAGAGGGAGAGAAATTTTAAAGCAGCAAGTTGCTGACTGAATTCCCAAAATTTGCTGTTCGTGATGCCCTTCCCTCCCAGAGCCTTTAAATTATCCTGTCGAGAAAAAATCCACCTGATTTTTATGTTTAGCCAAGAGCCTTGACAATAGAAAAAAAAGAGGGCAAACTGAAATGAGTTGACCAAGTACTAAATACACAAGATCACTTCTTAACCCCCTAAATTAGTCTGTATAGCAGGCTGGCAGGTGATGTGATAGAAATGTCAAGGAAGTCATAAATCCCTACCAGTTTCTAGGTTCCTATTACTCAGCCAGATTTTTTTTTAAAAGTAATAGTTTTACGGGAGGGTGGGGGTAATCCTGAATGTAATGCACTGATCTTATTCACGTATCTATCTGCATTTCTAGATATTGCCCAGAATATTCCAGATGCTAGATCCATAACATTTGACCCCCCTGGTTGCAGATATGTTAACAAAATAATGGCAAAGGTTTTGCACATAGCAGGCATCTTCCACTAAGCAAGCCTGATAAAACAAGTCCTATGTCTCAGTGTCAACATAACTAAGTGAGCAGCCAACTAGAGATTCTGGGGAGAATTTCAAATTCCTCAGTGGCAACGTCAAACAAGCTCAACTTTTCCAACTTTGCCTTCATCTACAGTCATTTCAACTCTCCCTCGTGGAATTATACAGAGATTCTTCAGACAAGCATACAAAGAAGATGGGACTCCATCCTCATGATTTCCTTCACTGATGAAAAAGCTGGGTTGACAAGATCAGAAATGAGGAGGTGATAAGCCTCCTGGGAAAGCCAAGGGAAATCATCAAAACAATTAAAAAACGAAAATTAGAATATTTCGGACATGTGATGCGACACCCAGAAAAATACGGCCTACTCCATTTAATCCTCCAGGGAAAGATTGAAGGCAAACGAGGTCCAGGCAGAAGAAGAACATCGTGGCTTCAAAATCTAAGGGACGTTTGGACAAAACCCAGCAGCACTTTTTTGTGCAGCTGCTGATAAAAACAGGATCGCCAACATGATCGCCAACGTCTGATAACGGATATGGCACAAGAAGAAGATGAAAACTATCTGTGAAAAACAACCAAACCTTGCAGGCTTCTACTTACGAGTCACTAGGCCAACGCCAGGAACATAATCCGCCAACAAGCGCAGAAGAAAGAGGATCCTGCCCCTACAAAGGCATATGGGGGGGGGGGGGGAAGAAGGAAAAGAGGTTAGTGGCTTCTTTTCCAACAACAAATGCTCTCTTGAAACCACAGCAAGGTCACAGATTTCACAGGCCTTTACATTTCTGCCTTCTCAAACCATGTCTGTCTAAAATAATTGCTTGTGCAAGACCCCCATGAAGTATAGTGGTGCTAATAATAACATCAGTAGCTGCTAGTAGCTCAAGCCATAGTGACTCCAGGAATAGATCTTAGGATAGCCTTCTATTCTCTAAGGACAAATCTGGGGACTCTGCCATTAGCAAAGGGACTTTCTGAAGCAGAGATGGTTCCGGTTTGCCTTGAGACAAAAACAGATGTGTTGGTTTTGAGAGACTCTAAGGTGCCTAAAAAGCCACTTTTGTGCTTGGCAGCAGGAAAAAAAAATGGAGACTAGTGTTGGAGGGAAGAGTTGAAGTGCCAAGGAATAGGGAGGATGGAGCTTCTCTTGGTGCATTTGGCATCTGACCGTCTGATGAGATGCAGATGGATGCTCCATATACCTTGAGTCCTCATGCTGGCAATGGCAGAGGAAGCAGCTGGGTGAATGCATTGTCTTTAGCAAAGGCTGCCCCAAGTGGGGAGCTTGGGGCCAGAGCCTGAGAAGGTACCCAAGGATGGCCTCCTTCCTTCTCTCTTCTCCAGAGAGAGAACTCTACAGATATGGTGCTCCTTTCTTAACTGGCTTCTAATGCTTCTGGCCATCCAAAAATGTATGATCTCAATTTGGCTTAGGCAGAAATTGTTGTCCTGTATATTTACTTATATAAGTAGTCAAGAGGACATTTGTTTCTGCAGAAGCTGGCAGACTTACTCAGAGTATCTGTCATAAAACGGGGATCTTAGTAGATAATATAGTAGCAGGACAGTCCGGCGTTTCAGCTCCATTCGTTCACGTTTGTTGAGATCTTTCTTTTCACTCAGTAAACTCAAGCTATAGGGAGGAAAATACAAGGAGATTCAAAGGTATTTTATATGATTGTGGGCATTCTCGCAATCGTATTGCAATAGTTACTTTCAGTTTTTCAGAGAGAAAAACTTCTCTTCCATTCCCAGTTAACAGCTTCAGAGCAACAAGACCACAGCCCTGCTGTTTGATCTAAAGCATTCCTTTTAATTTTCTGTTTGCTATTTGTCGATTTCAAGGATATGTTTTTAATCATAAAAGTTTCAGAACTTCAAATTAAAGACAGTTTCCACCTTCTCAAAAATATAAAAAGAAACTACTACTACAAAAAAAAAAAGAAAAGCAGTATTTAGTTTTCACTCTATCTGCATTTAGAAGAGCAGCTAAACAGCATGTCCTTCATCAAACTTCTAATTTTTAAGTTTAAAATTAACTTTTAAAAATGTTTTATGTCTGTAATTTTGTTTAGCTACCTTGTGTACTTGCTTGAAAAGAAGAGCAGGATTTAAACTGAATAAACAAAGTTCTCCAGCCTCTCAAGGAAGTGCAGTTTGTCCTCTCTCAGCTGGGACCAAAGGTATTATTAAGTGGAAATTAAAATTTATGCTATAAGAAGAGGTAAAAATAAAACTTAACTAAGACTGCTTTTTCTCCAAACTGACCTTGCAACATCCAAGATGCCTGACAGAAGCCAGGGTTTCCAAGACTTTTGTCCCCACACTGCTAAACCCAATACTTCAAACAAACATTAAGGAACAAAGAAGCAAGAGGAAACGGAACCGCTCACAGAAAATCTCAAATCCAGGCAGGCTGAATTATAACCAGAGTTATGTTAAATAAAATATCAGAAGAAACTGAAGGGATGAAAATCAATGGAGAAGTACTATGGATCCCCCCCCAAAAAAAAATACTGCAAAGGTCCAGTTCCCTTTTGTTGCTCCCTCCCTCAACAACTATTTTCAATTTCTTCCCATTAAAAATTAAGAGGCACTGGGAAAAAAAACCACCCTTATTTTCTCTAACTGTCAGGAAATTTCTCCTTAGTTCTAGGTTGCTTCTCTCTTTGGTTAGTTTCCATCCGTTGCTTCTTGTCCTGCCTTCAGGCGCTTTGGAGAATAGCTTGACTCCTTCTTCTTTGTGGCAGTCCCTCAAATATTGGAACATTGATATCATTTCACTCCTAGTCCTTCTCTTCATTAAACTAGACATACCCAACTCCAGCAACCGTTCCTTATATGTTTTAGCCTCCAGTCCTCTAATCATGTTTGCTGCTCTTCTCCGTACTCTTTCTAGAGTCTCAACAACTTTTTTACATCGTGGTGGTCAAAACTGGATGCGGTATTCCAAGTGTGGCCTTACCAAGGCATTGTAAAGTGGTATTAGCATTTCATATGATCTTGATTCTATCCCTCTGTTAATACAACCTAGCACTGTGTTGGCTTTTTTGGCAGCTGCAGCACACTGCTGGCTCATATTTAAGTGATTGTCAACTAGGACTCCGAGATCTCTCTCACTGTTACTACTATTGAGCAAGGTACCAATATATATATAAAGATACATGTTCCTTGGTAGCATAGGATGCAAAAGCTGCTATATTTTGGGTGATATTCTTAATTTTACTTCTATGTGATTAGGTGAGCTTTGTTGATCTGGGAGACAGCTCCACCAAAGAAAATGGATTTTATTTCTCAGTGACCATACACTGTACAAGACCTTTTAACATAGTCTATCCTAAAATATGGTTTGCAAATATCTAAAATCAATACAACTATCTTATTCCTCACTGCTTCACCATGTAGTATCTCTTCTTCTTCTTCTTGTGCCATATCCGTTATCGGACGTTGGCGATCATGTTGGCGATCCTGTTTTTATCAGCAGCCGCATGAAAAAGTGCTGCTGAGTTTTGTCCAAACCAGTCCCTTAGATTTTGAAGCCACGATGTTCTTCTTCTGCCTGGACCTCGTTTGCCTTCAATCTTTCCCTGGAGGATTGAATGGAGTATGCTGTATTTTTCTGTATCTCTAATGATAACTAAAACAAAATCTAGAGCCTGCCTGGAAATAAGCACCCTTCTGAACTAGAACAATTTATACTAAGGCTGTAGCTCTCTCTAGTGGTACACAGAACAGACTACAAGAACCACTGAAAATCAAAATAGGATACAGTGCAACAATGGACGGGTAACAAAGATGGATTCAGCAAGTGTCTCCTGGTTGCCCAAAGGTGTTGATAGTTGGCTGCTCTCCATTGCTCTTTGGTTCTGCTTTTCCTCACGTTGCTGAGGCTCACCCCAATGTCTAGAGTGCAGGGAAGGGGCTGAAATTAAGACAAAAGATATTTATCAGCAACCAGCGAGATGTTTGGCCAGAAAAAGTCATACGTACATCAAAAAAAGCAAGCTAGAATGATACTTACTACTTTCGAGAGACCGCACTACACGACTACAGCGCTTCCCCACAAAGATCTGTTCTTTTCCTACTAAGCTGGCTTCCAGAGCTGTCAAAAGATAGCTATGTAAGGCTACAATCAGAGGAGGGCACAATTCTCCCACTGAGATGATCCAGTAGCACAGTCAGGCCCCAGTCAAGAATAGGCATGGAGATACACAATATTCCAAATGGAATGGAAAACTCTGCAGACCGCTGAGCAGATCTAGACATGTCCCCAGAAAATGTTGCTCAAACTTTCTAGTATGCCTACTTTGAAGAATGAGGCTCCAGAAGTCCTCCTCATCTGTGCTAAAAGAAAAGAACTTCAAGGCAACTTCTCTGTGGGTTTACCCTGAGTGTATAGTATACAAATATGAGCAATAAACAGAAGTTGATTGTCCTGGGCTATTTATTCAGAAATTGCCTACAACAATCCCCTTAAGCATTTGCTCTCATCTTTAGATAGTAGGGTCTTTTCTTCTCAAAATGGGATGGCAAAGTAGAGCTGAACGTTCCTTAACCATCTACAAAGGAGTCTGTGAGAATGCAGCTATGCTTACTTTTTCAGAACACTGAGATTCAGCTCCTTGGTCAGGTCAAACTTATCTTTTCGGTGAATAAATAGAACTGTGCTAACGATATTTTTGTTCAGTAGTGATCTCACCATAAGTCCTTTTATTTCCTTCTAAACTTTCCCCAAATGGAAAAATACATGATTGCAAAAATGTGGAATAACTACTGTAACTATGATGTTCTCTTTAATAGCCATGTCCCTGCATGGACACAAATAAATGCATTTATTTCAGGCCTGAACTAAATATTGGAAATGAATATTTAATATAGAGTAATACAAAAAACCCACAAAATATTTTTGCTGATATTATCCAAGTATGGGTTATTTGGAAGACTGGAGGACACAACAATAATTCAATAACATCCAGAACATCTTCCATTCCCCTTGATTATGCTGATTAACTAATTGGTTTTGACTCACCTTTCTGATACAGTGATTGTCTCCTGTCCAATGGTACAATGGGAGGAGAGGTTTGGATACCAGCTTTGTACCACAGCAAGAGCAGGAGGCGCAAAATGGCTCTGCGGGTCAGAGCAAGGCACGGTTATAAGCAACGAAGGCACACAATTTCACAATCAAGATGCTAAAGGAGCATCAGTGTTGGCAGACACTCCCAACATCTTGACCCTGTGGTCATTCTTGGAAACTGTTTTGGGATAGTGAAAATTAGGAGGCTTATATAAAATCATAGTCACTTATCATGCAGAAAGTTTACATACTATTTTGGACAGAAATAAAAATCAAGTAGATTTGACAAGAGCCCAAACTTATTCCGAACTTATTGTAAAAACCGTGTGGTTTATACTATGCATGCCACACAATCAGTCTACTTGAGTTATAAGCACTCAGGATCTATCAATAAAAAGACCCTGTTTCTTTTGTTTGCCAATCAAATGCATTTTGATAAGAGGCCAAGCAGCCTTGGATTCCCCATCTCTACGTTCAACACTCACTTGGTTAATTGGATGAGGACAATAGTGGCCCACCGGCCATTCTCACCCCACACCTTGGCAGTTCCCATCTCGGCAAAGACCTCCAGGCATTCGAGAACACTCAGCCATGTTAGCAATTTCTGCTGGGAAAGTGGCTATACAGGAAAGGCAAACAAGCCTGTGAGATGACTCAGTATGACTAGCTTCAATGTATAGTAAAACACTGGTTTTTCTTTTAATTCTCAGTATTTTGAACACTGGATACACCAGCTTTCTGCATCTATAAAGCCACTGATCACTACAGCCAATAGACACAGAGATGGTTAGCAGATAAGACTCTGCTTTTCTATGCCCTTTCCTTGTCTGAGTTACTTCTATATCTCTGGGTAACAGGTCTCCTATTGGTTAGACTAATATTCTCAGGCTCTCATCTCTTCTATTGTATTTTTTCCTTTTCTCTGACCTGTGGAGCTGCTCTTTTTTCATAATGGAGGAAAACAGACAATACCCATTACTTGCAGACAGATGTTAAGTGCCTATCATAATGCTGTTTTCTTAATAAAGCTTTCTTTCATGCAAGCATCAGACCTGGTAATTCTTACAAAAGTTAGGCTGGTTACTTTCTCTCTCTCCACACATCCTTTCTACCCTGCAGAGGCAACTGTTGTGAGAAATGAGGGTGCAATGTGTCCAGCACTTCCATCCAAAAGCAACCAGGTGATCTGCTGGGGGTGGTATGTGGGACTTTCAACTTTAACTACCTGTGCTCGGTCTGACTCATCTTATTTCAACCACTTGTCAGCATGGGGGGGGGGGAAGGGACCTGCATGCCAGATCTTTGTGGCAGGGACATGGAGAGGTTCTTAAAGTGACAGGTGATACTTAGGAAGCTGTATCTCTGCACACTGCAGATTCCTCTGTTCCCATCAGCTGACCTGCTGCTTAATATTGGTGCATTCTTACTGTTGGTGGCCTAAATCAGGGGTTTGCAACCTTGACAACTTTAAGACTTGTGGACTTCAGCTCCCAGAATTCCTCAGCCAGCATAGCTGGCTGAGGAATTCTGGGAGCTGAAGTCCACAAGTCTTAAAGTTGTCAAGGTTGCAAACCCCTGGCCTAAATGAGGAAGGCAGAGATGTTGAGGGTCTTCTTTGCCTCCTTTCGCTAGGAGGAAAAGAAATCCCTTTTATCTCCCCAGCAAAGAAAGTCAGTTTCACTGCTTCCTCATTTGCCATTTGAATCCAAGCACTGGATCCCTAATAGAGGAGAATTATCTGCAGCTCAGGGCTGAACTGCAGAATCCTGGCTGCTCTCCAAGTTTGTTATTATTATTATTTTTTTGCAGACATTCTTTACCCAACTAGTAACATCTTCAGTGCACCTACTTGGGTAACGGAACATCTGCAAAGAAACAGCCAAGCTCAGACAGCACCGAGGACTCCGTTCAGATCACATCTTCTCTCGTTAGTCTAAATCAGGCCTGCACAACATGCAGCCCACCAAGGAACCCCCTTGTGTGACCCACTAGGGTTCTTTAAAAAGTTAATAAATTCACCCACCATCCCAAAAGATGCAACATCAAGAGCTTCTCACACCTCCAGGCCTTGTTGACAACACCAGTGCTGCTGCTACTCTGGCCAGTTGCTAAACAGGTATAGGTAGTCTTTGACTTAAACCCGTGGTGGCAAACCTATGGCACGCGTGCCACAGGTGGCACGCAGAGTCCTCTCTGTGGGCGCGTGCGCCATCACCCCAGTCCTGCGCCATCGCCCCAGTCCTAGTCCCAGCTGGGTTTTATAAAACCTTTTCACTTTAGGCCTCCGCCGCCATGTGCAAAAAAAAAAAAGGTTCAATCAATCAATCAATTTCAACTTCTCGCAGGAAAAAAAAAGATCTCGCAATGTTGGAATTGATTGATTGAACTTTTTAGTCCCACCCAGTCTGCCGTTACCACCGCAGCCACGCCCACCCAGCACCCGACAATACATAAGTGGGTTTTGAGTTGCAGTTTGGGCACTGAGTCTCTAAAAGGTCGCCATAACTGACTTAAACCATTCATTGAGTGACCGACCATTCGGCACTGAAAAAAGTGACTTATGATCGTTTTTCACACTTATGATTTGTGCAGCATTCCCCATGGTCACGTGATCAAAACCTGGCCACTTGGCAAGTATTTATGACAATTGCAGTGTCCTGGGATCATGTGATCACGTTCTGAGACTCTCTGACAAGCAAAGTCAATGGGGAAGACAGATTCACTTAACAACCTTGTTACTAATTTAACAACTGCAGGGATTTCCTTAAGAGCCGTGGTAAGAAAAAAAATGGGGCAAAATTCCTTTAACAACCGCCTTGTTTAAGCAAGGGAAATTTTAGGTTCAATTGTGGTTCTAAGACGAGGACTACCCTGTATTCTTTAGGCAATGATTTTTAATTTAACAATATGGCCCTTTCCCTTCTATAAATTGGGCCGGGCTGCTCTAAACCTTTGAGGAGCTGAACCCTACAGTAATCTTCATCATCTATCATGCTAAAAGTTGCAAGCAAAAAGATCAACAGCCCAAATTTAATTTAGGTAGAAGTTTCAGAGTCAAAGTATCAAGACGACAAAATACAAGAAATCGCTCACAATAACTTCCTTTGGCCTGCAAAACTTTCTTACCACTGGGAGGGATTGCTGCAGCTCCTTTCGAAGAATCCAGTCATTGAGTAGGACCAGCAGACCGGAGGCAGAATATACTGAGAAAGGGAAGATAAAATTTGGGGAGGGGGAATGTAATAAAAAAGGAATAAAAGTAAAAAGTAAAAATGAAGAGATCGCTGACTTAACAATACTTTTATTTCAAAGCCCACGTTGTATTCAAATCAGTTATTCTTGTTACTTTTGCATTTCCTCTGAAATATGAGTCTTGGTCATTTTTTGGCTTTCTTCCATAGGAGCCAAGCAAAGGAACAGAGTGCATTAATTCACAACTCCCTTTCAAAATAGCCCTAATTTTGATAATAGGTTCTGTGATGCAAAAGCATAAACATTTCTGAAATGACATCGGGAGCCAAATTGCAAATTCAAGCAAAATCCTAACTCTGCAGAGCTTTGCTAGAATTTCAAGAAAGACTAAATATGTTATGGAACATACTTCACCAGGTTCATAGGAGTAACTAAAAGAGTCATAGACTGTTTGTGTCCTTGATCTTTCAAATTAAATCTGCTAGCAGCTCACTTCTCTGACTCTCTCTATGAGAAGAATATTACATAGAAATGGGAGAAGATCTTGGTGGTGGTAACCTATTTATGGGGCACTGTTGCTTGCCTGGGCCAAACAAGTACAATACTGGTTTCATTACATTTGTTATACTGTTATATTGTTTTTTATTCATTTTATCCAAGCCTCAGAACTATTAATATAGATCAGACATAAATAGGCTAAGAAATAAAAGAAAAATCAATAACACAATCATTCTGAAACAAAAATACTAACAAAAATTTTAAAGATAATTTAAAATTATTTGAATTGCTCTTGGTATTTGATGAACAATAATAAGTTTAAATAGTTTGAAACTTATCATGGACAAAACACAGAATTTAGGTCAAGAAACCCACACTGATACCTTATTCTAGGCTACATATCAAACAAAAACAATTAAGGATTGAGGAACACAAAGATCTTAAGAGTTTTTGCAGAGGACAAGAAATTCCTTCTTTTAGGATGGAAAACTTTATGTTCTCAAGAAAATATGAATGAACAGATTACGCTGTGCTAGATATTTGTGTAGCAAGGAATGAAGCTATTATAATTTCATTATTTTGAAAATACAATTGTACAAGCATATGCATTTCTCGCCACACCCATCACATTGAAAGAAGTCAATTAACGCTATCTTGAAATTGTTTATTTCTCAACTTTCTAGCTTACGTTCAAATATTGGCTACATTCAAATGATTGCATCATGGCAAATATGAAGCAAGCATAAGACATAATGTTAGAGTTGCTCTATATGATTAAATGAAAAAAACATTGGTCTGTAATAACTGAAACTGGTTTGTTGGTCTGTAATAACTGTAGTTGTAACTCTGGTCTGTAATAACTGTAACTGTAGCCTTGGATCAGTTATTACAGTTTTTGAAAACTGAGATTAATGACTTCAGTGCAAACCAGAAGCCATATTTTGAAGGTGACTTTTAATACTGTAAGAGACAAAGTGAAAAATTATCTTTACTAGAAAAGCAACTATTTCTGAGCCCAGCATAAAAGGAGAATGAATGGCCTGCAGCTTATTAAACTGAGATATATCTTACAAAGTTGGGCAATGGTAAAGAATGGGATCAGATAGTCCTCTTCTAGGAATGATCATATAAATATGGATTTATATATAAAATTGTTCAAAAATAATATTTCTTGCCATTTTCTTTTATCATTTTTTTCAGTGACAATCTGAATTTTTTTTTACAGCAGTGCTGAATTAAATATTTCATTAGGCAGCTGACTGACCTTGTCTGGACTTGGAAGCTAAGTAGGACTAGGCCTGGTTACTACTTGGATGAAAGACCTCCAAGATAGATCAGAGTTATAAGCTAGACTGGGAAGTCAAAAACAATCCCGGACGGAAAAAGGTCAAACCACTACCATACAATGAGACTATATTCATATAGTTACCAGTGGTCAAACTTGACTCAAAGGATTATTTTTTTAAATTTTATAGATACCTTATTTAAGACAGCCTTCTCCCAACTAGTACTCTTAAAATGCATTGGAATATAATATATACCAAATTTGATCTGTATGATCTGTAGTTATAGAAATTGGGAATGATGGAAACCTAGTACCATATAGAGCAGTGGTTCTCAACCTTTTTAATGCCGCGACCCCCAACCGGTCGTAAGTCGAGGACTAAACCGGTCGTAAGTCGAGGACTAAACTGGTCGTACGTCGAGGACTACCCAACCGGTCGTAAGTCGAGGACTTTCCCTGCCCGGGAGTGCCGCGTATGCGTGGTTCCACCCCCTGCGCCGGCCGAGGCGTAGCTGGCAAGCGGCAGAGACGGAGCAGGCCGACCACCAGCTGGCCCAGCCCAAGGGAGGTAAGGCACCCGCCGGAAAAGGGGAAAAAAATGGCGGACAGCCTTACTTGGCGACCCCTGTGAAATGGTCGATCGACCCCAAATGGGGTCGCGACCCATAGGTTGAGAACCGCTGATATAGAGAACTCCAACACTTCAAATTCTAATTGTGCTATCAAATGTTAGCACTGAAATAGCTAGATTTTGATAACATGAGTTCTGACAATTACATTGTTTTTGGCATATAAATTAAAAGTGGAAATGAGAGCATTCTGCCTCCCAGAAGCCTCCTGCTATCATTTGCACCTTAATGTTTTTGTATGGAGGGAAACCAAAACTTCTGCTATTGAAAGTTACATTTTGGCACTCAATTTTAGCAATCTGATCTCAAGGTACTGGAGGTACACGGACCCTGTCGCCAACTCAGCTGCAAGCTAGAAACTGAATAGTAATAGTAGTAGTAGTAATAACAACAACAACAACAACAACAACAACAACAACAATAATAATAATAATAATAATAATAATAATAATAATAATAATAATAATAAAGTTGGAAGGGACCTTGGAGGTCATCTAGTCCAACCCCCTGCTCAGGCAGGAAACCCTATACCATTTCAGACAAATGGCTGTCCAGTCTCTACAAATGGCTGTCCAGTCCAGTTTTTAAAGTCAAAATCTATATTCTACATTAAAACCTTCAGAAGTTATTTAATAACCCAGGACATGCAATAAGCATGTATATTTTCCCCACTAATGCAATCCCATACGGACTTCTGAGAGAACCCAATGATATTTTACTATTTTAGAACCTCAAAGCAGTTTTACTTACCAAGTTCAGACAGCTCATGAGAATCAGAAAATCGACCTGTAAAAATAAGTACAAATGAAACCTGAGCTACTATTCATGAACAGTCAATGAAAGAGTTTTGAGGGAGCAGCTGTGAAGCAACAGTTATCCAACGTATTGCCCAACTACATTTCCCACATCTATTCTGAATTATATATACGCTTAACTAATTCAAAGCAGTATGACAGGTTCATCTACAATGGAAAACATATATTTTCATAGACTTCTAACAGATCATTAGTCCATGCTTTCCTGTGTCATAATATTTTTGAACTGTAATCTAAGGTTTTACACTGCATCTAACATATATAACAAAGACCATATGGATCAATATAATCAGAAATTTGTTAAACAAATTTATATGGTTCCCCAACTCACACATGGTGATTCAAGGCAGCTAGAATCTAGGCATTTTTTTTGTTTTGTTTTACGACCCTTTAATCCCTTTAAAGGGATTGGGGCAACTGAATGGAGCAGCTTCCAACATTAAAATCACTAAAACCTCACCTCAAAAATAGTTTAAAAACAATGGTTTCCTTGATGAGCATTGACCAAAGAACTGGCATTTTTTTTTCTTATTCAGATTTACTTCTATTCTAAAAAAAGGCCCCTCTCTATGAAATTATCTATAATTTACTTCTTTTGTCCTTGTTTTGTATCTATTCCACCATCAACAGAGGTAGTGTCTTCTCTATAATAGCACCCTGACTTTGGAATTTGGTCTTCAAAAGCTTTTTAAAATGTATCAGTTTTACATATTTACTGTTAAATATGAATTGGTTATAATTATTTAAAGAAAAGGTCTGAAAACTTTGCTGAATAGTTAAATAGGAAGAAAACAATTATTATGGGTAGAGGAGCAAACCAAAATAAAATATCAAGAGTCACAATGCCTTTGCATACATTAATATTACTTTCACATTAGGGATATTGTGCACAGTTCCAATTACCTAACTTCAAAATGGCAATTTAGAGCTGGGTTCTTAGTAACATAACTTTTCACTCAATTGTTGTGATAAGTCAAGGACTACCTGTAATCAACAGACCAACAAATGGGCCACATTCTGCGTCTCTCTGCATTCACACACAGCATGTTGTTATTAGCAACCACTACTTCAGCATATTGATCTTACACTTAGGCACTCTCACCATTAATTAATGTTAATTATAATAAAGACAATCTCCCTGTTCAAAAGCCACATACTTCAAAATATTAGATAATGGACAAATGAATGGGAATGATCTTGATTTCATACTCAATGAATGAAGTGCTGCTCAGATGGATTATGCTTTTATTTCCTAAGACCCTTCATGTGGAATGGAAAGAAATTAAACTTCCAAGCTGTGACCACAGTCATTAAGAGACCAGACCTGTCCAGCAGCACCAAGCACAATGCAAACAATTTCGAAAGAGGTTGCCAAGTTAAGAGATTGAAACCTGCAGTTTCCACAGCACTGAGCTGCAGACATTTAACATATCTGTAATAGTTGAGGACAGAGAGATAAAGAGCCACTTCAATTGAGATCAAGCTCTGCAACTAATTAAAAGGAAAAGTAATTTTAAAAAGTGCCAAAATCATTCTCCAAATCACTATTTCAAATCCAGGGCCAATTGAAAGATTTAAGAGAAGGACCGCAGTATTGTTTATTTTTCCCCTGTCGTTTGTGGCTATTACCTTTTTTCCTGGCAAACCTGCTGGGCATTTTTTAAAAAAACAGTAAGAAATCCAACAGGTGAAGCCTTCTCCAACACTAGAATTCCAGGGTTAAAAAAGCTTCACCTGCCAGACGTCTGCCTATTGCCGAACAGTTAGAAATGCTGAGCCTGAATCCCATTTTGGGATTCGAAGGGAGCCAAAATACAAGTTCAACCACCTTTTCGTATGACAGCCTATGGATACAGAAAGCTTGCCCGGGGGCATCTGCAATTGTGCTCGTCCCTCCTACCTGGCAGCAAGTAAGAGAGGCCGCGCACGGTGCTCTCCAGCTGAGCAGTGGCCGCTGGATGCCGCTTCACGTAGTCCTGATACCGGTAACACAAATGCCGCAGCCTCCCCACCAGCCCCGGCGTTGAACCAGCCATGGCTGCTGCTCTACAAGATCGACTTAGGCGCACACACACTCCCCCATTGCGCCTGCGCACAAACTTCCGGTTTGTACTTTGCTGCCCAGACACACCCCCGGCCCCGCCTCTCTCCTGGTCCTGCTCGGCATTCTACCTCTGCGCCTGCGTAGCACCTGCTCCGAAGCTGGCGCGAGCGAAACCAATCGAGCCCGGAGTGAAACAGCCAGAGGGAGAATGAGCGGAGCGCGGGGAGGTTCAGACTAGCAGGCGCCCGCTTGCTGGAGGAGGAGGAGGAGGAGGAGGAGAGGAGGAAATTTTACCAGGGCTGGAGAGAAGGCGCGCGCCGTCGTGGCAGCAGCGCGCGCCCCTGCCAGGTGTGAGTATTGCGCCGGGGACGCGGGTGCCGCAGACTTTCCTTGCACAGCGCCCAGGTGTTGCCCCCAACTCGGGTCTGGCGTCGGTGGGCGCTTGGTGCAGCTCCTTCTCAGGCGCGGCTGTCTTCGGCGAGGGGATCAAAAACATCGCCAGCAAATTTCGCTTTTGCAGGATGGGCTAATAAGGAAAGCGCTAGGTGGAAGAGATTGGCTCGGGCGAGGACTGCGATGGGGGAATGTGCCGGCGACGCCGCCCTTTGCCCCGCTTTGGAGAGGCTGCCCAGCAGGTGTCTCTAATAGGGGTCTGTCCTCTCTTGGGAGAGGGCATGTGGGGGAACGGCCTGACGTGGGGGGATACCAGAGGCTGGTCGAGGAAGTCCCCTGTCCCTGAGTGACCTTACCGTAAAAATAGAAGTCCTTTCCCACTTTGCAGCACCGACCGGCACGTGGTTTGGTGGCGCCCTGTGCTAAACTGAAATAATAATAGTTCGAGCTATAATAAGAGCGTCTGCTTGACAATGGTCCGTGGCCGCTGTCTTTTTCGCTAACTGCTACCTTTGAAAGTCTCTCTCTCTCTGACTTGATCGCGTTTCTTTCTTTATTTAGAAGTAAGCCGCGGCTAGAATTCCGCGCGTCTGTGCGTAGAAGCAAACGCCCTAATAAACTCTTGGGAAGCTGACTTAAAAGTAAATGGGGACGTCGGCCCAGATACTTAATTCGATTTTTTATTTTTTATTTTTTTTTTGAGCGATAAATAGCTGAGATAGATATTAGACTTGGGACTTATTTATTTGGGGATATCTCACCCTAAACTCTAGAGCAGTGTTTCTCAACCTTGACAATTTTAAGGCATGTGGACTTCAACTCCCAGAATTCCACAGCCAGCATTGCTGGCTGTGGAATTCTGGGAGTTGAAGTCCACATGCCTTAAAATTGTCAAGGTTGAGAAACACTGCTCTAGAGCAAACTTTCCCAAATTGTGAGGTTCTTTCACTAACCCTGCATATAGCGTTCACGGGAGGTGAGAAGAACTTTTAGTTACATCTTTACAATAAATCCAGCTTTCCCAAAGTCCCGTTGTATTTTTTTCATTGTTCATTTTTGGTGTTTGGATTTTTAGATGAGGTCTCTATATGAAGATTACACACAAAGGGACTTGTGACTTGCAAAATGTTTAGGAACCCTTGCCTTGGAGAATAATATAGGTAGTCTTCACTTTGAGTCTGTCAAAGTTACAATGGTATTGAATGACTGGTTATTGCATTGTCCCCACAGTCACAGGATCTCAATTCGGACACTTGGCAACTGACAAATTTGAGACAGTTAGGACATCCCATAGCACATGATCACCATTTGCCATCTGTACTGCCAGCTTCCAATAAGCAAAGTCAGTGGGGAAGCCTGCAGGAAGATGTAAAACTTATTCACATGAAGTCACACTTAATGACCAATGGTGATTCATTTAATGAGTGCAGCTGGAATTGACAAATTGCCATTGTAACTCAGATGCGGTCACATCATTTTTCACATTACAACCAGACGGTTTAGCAATAGAGTTGCAGATCACAACTGCAGTCAGTAAGTGAGGACTACATGTATATAAGGGCTTCATTTGCTTCCAGATGGGATAAACTGGGCCTCTCATTAAAGAAATCTCTTGAACTAGGAAGCTCGCAGTTACCAAATGAACATTGTTGTTGAGGATTCTGTCTCAGTGCATCTGTGTGAAGTAACAGTCCTGGTGGTGAAAAATGCAAGTTGGAATTTATGTGGTTTACATTTTACAGATGTAGAATTAAATTTATGAGTGTGAAAAGCTGGACATTTGATTAGTAACATCAAGACTCATGAAGGATTTAAATTAGTAGAAAATTAGCATATGCATTCCCCTTGCATTTCCATTTTTATCATTGTGCTCCTTGATTTTCATTACTGAAAGTTGAAGATCATGTGCATTTTTAAGCACACAATCCCAAAAGATAAGCATCAACAAATAAACCAGTTCTATCTGAGGAAGGGAATATCATCCAGAATTATTGGTGGACATTCCAGATCCAGGTATGATACCCAACCCCATGTTAGTAGTTGACCTTATCCAACAGCTTCATATAGATGTTGAATAGCAGTGGGAAGAGAGAAGAACCCTGAGAGACCTCACACAGCAAGTGTGTAGGGTTGGGTATCCCCTTCTAAACCAGCACCCAATGAAATTGGCTGTAAAGGAAGAAAGAATAATGACTTCAATCATAAGCTCACTATTGTAAAACCCCTGATCCAGTCCAGAAGGATACCATAATTTGTGGTATAAAAGGCTACCAAGAGATCAAGAAGGGCTAGTATCAGCCATCCATAACTGCAGTCAGTGCTGTACCAAGGCTGAAACCCAACTGAAAATGGTCATTAGAATTTTCTCTCCACAGATTTTCTTCCCTCCCTCCCTCTGGAACTACATTTCCTAAAGAATAAAAAAGCTTCTTTATCTCTGATTTTTTTTTAATCTTTTAATTGCAACCCCACTTTCTATTTTTTCACCCAATAGACTGCTGGGATAGGAAATGGTCAGGGTAAAGAACTTTTGACATTCAAAGGCTGATGTAGCCTTATGGTTACATCCCGGCTGTTCATCATAAAGTACACACTGTAGTTTATGCCAATCAGGTGTCTGCTAAATTTGTTTAACCACACCTCCTATGTCTCCCAGCCAGTTGGAAATGATGGGATTTGCAGTAACCAATTTCAGGAGGATACCATATTATGGAAGATTGCAGTTTCACTAATTTAATAGACATCCTTCCCAGATTTATTAGCAATTGTATTCTCAAGTATGTTTTTTAAATCCACCTCGTTGATGACAACTTAGAAATTTAAGCCTATGTGAGTTTAAAATATTATTTAGCAATCAAGTAGTAGGACCTGGCTTGATTTCCTTTTGGTTTGCAACTAACTGGAAAATAACCCAGTGGGGCCTGCAGTACAGAACAGGGAAACAAAGAAGTGGTATCTTATTAGTAGCCTTATGTTTCTGATGAAGGTTGCTTATAGAAGCATCAAAGATGAAGATGGCTGTCAAATTGCTATGTATATCCCTGAAGTATATCCCATACTTCTGTTGGCCAAGTGCCCCACAAGTACTGGTTACAGAAGCTTTCAATCATTTCATAAATTGTGTAATCAATGGTAATGCACAAGAGATGACATTTCCAAGCCCAGGATGACTCAGCAGTTCCAGGTGAAGGTTGTTTCCATTAATGCAACTTGTTTTGATGTCAGCAACTCTGTAACACAGCTGCAGTTTATCCTGCTGAATAGGACTGCTGTGGGCAATTTACTAGAAAGTTGGGCCTGAGGGTTACATTCTTTTTGTTAATATCTGTGGTGTTTGTGGCTAATGTGATAGTAAACATCTGCCCTTCTCTGTTTATAATAGGGTAATGCTGATAATTCAGAAAAAAAGATTTATGTGAAATATTAAAGCTTTACCTTGGAGATACTGTAGAAGTAGATATTAGATGGTGAATTCTTCCTCCCAACCTTATATTTGTGGGGGTGTAGGATTGGCTTGTAATGGTAAATTAGCAGACTGCTGCAATGTGTACAGGCTTAATCTTACCAATACCTGATATTAGACATTTAGAAACCTAAAGGTCTTTTTCAAAGAATTGACAACTAAAAGAAAGGTCAAACATACTTTTCTCATCCAAATGCCAGTCATCTATGCCAGCAGTTTAAAGCAACAACAGCCTAAATGGATGATGCAAGAAAAGCTTGTATTTGTACTCTTCCCACCCCTGCCATCCGCTGGCCATGCATGATCCCTTAGATTCCCTGATTCCCATCCCTGAGTGATTTCTGGCACGGCTCTACCAATAATCAACCAAACTGGGCCCCAAAATGCTTAAGCCCAATTGGGGATCCCAAAATGGGGGAGCAAGGGGAATTTCTGTGCCCCAAACTATATCGTTCAGGTAGTCTTTTAGTTTTCGTGTTAGGCTACAAGCAGTTGATTAACAACCATTCATTCAATTAATGTTCAAAGTTGCAGCAGTGCTAAACGAATGGTGGTTATACCTGATACCCAAAATTACAGTTGCTGTACCCAGTTCCCACAGATCAAAATATAAGTTAAGCAGTTAAGGAATGGGACAGGTATATATGATGTAACTCAGGGGTCCCCAACCCCCAATCCATGGACCGGTACCGGGTCGCGGTATGCCAGCAACCGGTTTGCACAAACAAGCAAAGCCCCATCTGTGGGATGCAGGCAGTACACAAAACCATGCACTCTCCGGTCCATGGAAAAACCTTTCTCCACGGAACCGGTCCCTGGTTCCCAAAAGGTTGGGGACCTCTGATGTAACTGCTTCACTTATATTCTTGACTTGAACAAGAAGCAGTAGAGATTAGTGTCTTTCTGTTCCTTTTAAGATCCAAAATGCCAAATTATTCTGAAAAACGATGTGAATTAGTAGATATGTTTTGTTATTGTGGCAGTTTTCAGGCAAATGGAGCAATTATTTGGCTTTCCAAAGATGATAGCTATCAATTCCAATTTGATAGATTGTGTGGCATCTTTTTAATTCCAGAAGCTAAATGGAGATGGGACCCTTAATCCATCTACCATCTACAGTATAAATGATTATACAAGGGATTTGTGAAACAAAGAATTTCACTGTAAATTTGGCATG